ATAATTTTGAAAAATATACATACATCTACATTAGGATTAATGAATTGTGTTCTTGCATATCTTGTAAGCATATTGACTATAACAACTTGACCCCATTCATCAACATCAACTAATAAATTACAGAGTTTCCTGTAATTTTTGTGTATCAAATCTATTCTTTCAGGACAAACTTCTTCAAATGCCATCACTGCAGAACCTACAACAAGAGTTGTTTTGTCGGATAATAACTTTTCTAAGACACCTATTAACTCTTCTTTTTGCTCAGAATCTAATGAATAAAGTTTAGGAATAGCATGTGCTGCAGTTTTTCGGACATATGGTGACATATCACTTGCTGAATCTTTAATAGCAAGCATTACTATAGGCACTATCATAGAAACTCGTATACTTGAAAGTACTCTTAAAGCACTGGCTCTTATTAATTGATTAGGATCTTTTAATGCTCGTTGAAATGTAGAAATAGATAAAAGAGCAAGATCTTGTTGATCTTCTGCATAACGAACCAAATAAACATAAACTAATTTTTTCACTTCAATATTTTTTGAGACAACATTTTTTACTACTGCTGGAAATAATTCTGATGCATCTCTTCCTTTTGCTATCATCTGAAAAAATAATTACTTTTATTTTTTTCTTTTCAAAATAAAATTAAGTTATATTGAAAAATTAAATATATCAGATATATAATAATTATAAAAAATATTTATATTCTTATTTTTCAATAAAATGACATGACTATTCTAGTCATAAATTACTCATTTCTCATGGATTTCAGAATATTATTTTATATATATATTATGTAAATAATTCTTAAAGAAAATTACAAAAAAATTAAAGATATATAATATATATTATTATTAGATATATAATATAAAATTAGATATATAATATATAAAATTAATGATATAAAAAATTTATTACCCCAATTATACGTTTCATAGCTTCTAACTTAAGTCCATCTTTATTACTATCTAACATTTGTTTCAAGTCTTCATGTCTGAAAAAAATATTTCTTTTAGACAAGCAATTACATTTACTTCTGTATTAATATATTTAATAATATATTTTATATAAATAATATAATATATTTAATAATAATCAATTTTATGATATTAAAAATAAAATTTAAAAAATTTATAATATAATTAAAAATATATATATGTATTTTCTTCATATTTCAAATATATAATATATAAAATTCAAGAAAATAACAATATAATATAAAAAGGATTATAAAATTGAAATATATAAATTTTTTCAATCGTTTAATATTTCAAATGTATATTTGAATATAGTAAAAAAGAAACGTTAATAATACTATAAACTTTAAATTAAAATAATTAAAATGTATCAAAAATACATTATTTTAAAAAAATATGTTAAATTTCTAACTCAAAAATATATTAAATTTTTCTGTAATAAATATTTTTTAAAAAATTATTATATAAACATATTTTTTAGAAACAAAATGTTTATCATTAAAATTAAAATATTTACTTTTTATAATCCGAATGAAAAAATCCACCTGAAGCAGGATCAGTTGCGAGTTCTGCATCTGCTGTATTTGATGGTCTATCATTGCTGTAAGATCCTCCGTTATTTGATAATGAGTTTGCAGCAGCAGTTAACATCTTTTTTTTTTTTTTTATTTAAAATACAATATTCTTTTTTTTTATTCCAATTACAAACTTTATTCTAACACGAACAAATCTTTAAAAATTTATTACAAGATGATTTCAGTAAACATTAACAGACACCCATGTTGTTTAGATCTATTTAGATTTGAGCTACTCAATACGTATTCCTGTTTTATATATCGAAATGTATCGAATAAAAATATTTAAAAATAAAACAAAAAATATAATTGTTTTTTTTATTAATTGTTTGCAAATAGTGTGATTTCGTTCATTTTATTCTATAGAAATTAAAATTAAGAACTGTAGCATTTCTAAAATAATGATTGAAAGAATAAAACTGTCACGAAGTTACACGCATTACGTATAAGTTACTAGAAACCGTATTTATCTTTTATTCAAGAGCGGGAATATTAAATTATAATAAAAAATATTATCGATTATTCAATTATCATTATTATTAATTATTTTATTTTTTTATAGCTATTATTATTTTATTACAAAGATTATTATTATATGTTAATATCATGAAATTATATAATAATATATTATTTATATTAATATTATTTATAATAATATATTATAATATTAAAAATTAAACATTAATATATATAAAAATAAACAAATGCAACTAAATATTTGTAAAAAAATATAGTATAATATACATATCTTTTTCTTAATAAAATATATTATAATTTTAATTTTAAAATGTTAAATAATGTACAATACTAAAAAAAATATTATAATTTTATAATGTATTCTTATTATTTGTATGCATGTTTTTAAAATTTTTTTATATAAAAATACAAAAATAATTAAATATTTAGATTAAATAATATATTATATAGATATTTATATAAATTTATATAAATAAAAATATATATAAATGATTTATTTAAATTTTTTGTTATTGAAATGAAGATTGTATATTTTTGCAATATTCAAAAAGAATTTTAAAATTTTCTTATATTATTTTTTCATCTCATCATTATCAGAACTTTTACCTTATGTTTTTTTGCTATGCAACAATTTCACGAGTATTTTAAAATATCTATTGATTTGCATTTGATCTATATAAAATAAATATTTTTTATTAATATTTATTTAAATATTTATATTTAAATTTTAAAAATAATAAAATAAATAATAAATAATATATTTCACAAAGTAATTTATTTATTTATAATTTATTTTAATTTAACCCTTTGACTGTAAATCATCTATTAATAAAGTATATGATTTTTAAAAGTATTTTTTAATGTTTTACATTCACAAAACAAATAATGTTAATTATAGAATGCATAATATAAAAAAATATATAATACTAATGTATAATATTAGCATCAACTAAGCTTAAATAGATGCCATCAGCAATCAAAGGGTTAAAATTATGAAAAAGTTTATTTTGTATGACACTATAATACAAGTTTATCTAGTTTATTGATATATTGTATGTTGCCTGCTAACAGAATAACAATTTGTTTTTACAGAAAGTTTGCTAAGAATTTTTTTTTCCTTCATCTACTTTATTATTACAATCCCTTTTTTGTTGTTGTCTAATGGCTGAATTCAAATCTTCTTGACAATTAGCATATGCCATACCTAATCCAAAACCTGCCCCAGTTATAATAGGCCACTTTCTTCCTATAAAAAAAAAAGAATTAATGTTTATATGATTTTATAATGTAACAAAATGTAATGAATAATATATATATTTATATATTTGTTATAATATTAAAAAAATTCATAATAATAATAACAAAATTTATATATACAAATAAATTATAAATAATATACAATAAATTATAAAATTTTAATTTTATAATTTAAAATTTAATAAATAACTAAATATTTATATTTTTTTTTATCATTTCAAATCGTTAACTATGAGAAGAATATAACATAGAATACTTAACCTATTTCATGTTCGTAATGAAAAAATTTTCATTATTTAAATATTAAAATTGATAAAAATATTTATTTAAAAATAATTATACGAAATTAAATTAATAATATTATATGATCTATATTTTTCAGTCAAAAATTACATTATTTTAACTTTTGTTTTAACTTCAAAATTGTATTTGCTATTAAAAAAATAAATTAATTAAATTTATTATCACATTAAATATTTTAACTAACATCAGAAAATATATAAAGATTTTTATTCTAAAAAATTTTTTAAATGGATTAAAACTTACGTTTGAAAAAAAATAAGGAGAATACTCCACCAAGAAGAATTCCTCCTCCTATGGAAATGTCGTTATCATTAACCAACAAGAAATAAATTTGATATCTTTTCAAAATCCATCGGTTATAATTACTAGATGATAATTACCAAATTTAAATATAGCATCCGTAAAACACCGATCCCACTTTCGTCCAATTTCGTCTTCAACCCAAGTAGCCATTTTTCTTACATTAAAGTAGATCTATGATATTGAATGTTATGTCATATAACAATCTATGATCATTGGGAAAGAATGATAATAAAATTATCGATTATTTGTGAAAATAACTTTATAGAGATTCAGTATTTTTTTGATGAGCAATATTTTTTTCAATACTATATGTGAATGTGTAATGTAATTAATGACAACGAAATCAATGTAATTATGTAGTTTCCATTTCAATCAAACAAGAGAGTATATAGGGATATGCTATTACATATTGCTTTAGGTTATGACAAAATGTATAAACAATATTTTATCATAATTTTATATATTATTAAATTTTTTGAAATTTGTTTTTTTTTTTTTTGTTAAGAAGTAATTGATTTACTCTATAAACTTGTTGATTTTATCGAAAATCATTTGATTTTCGTAAATTTTGTAAATTTTTAAGCCATTCATGGCGATACGAACAATTTATAGTAACAATTTATACTAACTTAAATGATTAAAAAATAAAATCACTATTTAGTTTCATAATTTACTACATGAAATTCTTGTAAAAAATTGCTAACTACATAAAAAAGAAAATTTTTTATATAAAAGTAATTTTATACAATTTAATACAATTGAATGATTAACTTCAAAAAATATAATTAAGATATAATTGCTCTTCATTATTATTTTTATTTTTATATTTTATTAATAATTCGTTTTACAGTGCTAAAACAAAAAAATTTAATTTAAAATAATAAATTATAAACTGATAACATGAAAAAATAATCTGTTAAAACAAGTATTTTTATTATTTATATTAACATTCATAATTTGATTTCAAAACAATTTTTACATATTTAACATTGTTTGTAATAATATAATAAAAGTATTTCTTTTGTTTTATCCTTTAAAAGTATAGGAATATTAAAAAAAAGTAAATATTGAAAAAATAAAACATGTTTTAACGCCCTCTTATAATCGATTCTATTCTATCCTAGTAAAGCATTCTAAAAGTTAATTTCACTGTGTACCGTGTATACTCTTTTTGACAACATGGTTGTCCAGAAACATCATTATAATATTGCAATAAAAGAGTTTTCGGGTCAAAAATAAACCAAAATTGTGTTGAACATGTTTGTTAAATATTGCAAATCAAAAAAAGGATAGTTTTAGTCAATATAGATTTCATGTTAAAGTGCTGTAAATCTAATAGATACATATTCATGTTAAAATTGCGTCGCAAATAATGTTATCGATTAATTTTTTAACTTCTGAGTCAATAAACAAAAGATTAAATAATATTAATAGAAAAGCAAGTTATATAGAATTATTAATGAAGTTTTCATTTTTTATTGTGATTTTTATTGTAACAACCTATCTCTTATCATCGGTTAGTGGAAGCGAGTCATTGGGAAATCCGTATAAAATATTAGGTGTTCACAAACGTGCAACTTTACAAGAAATTAGAAAAGCATATAAAAATCTTGTCAAAGAATGGTGAATATTATATTGCATTTTATTCTATTATTATATTATAAATTAATTCTAGTTTAATTTTTTTATATTTTGCAAATAAATATATTGAAAATATATATTATAAAAAAAAGAAAATTCTATATATTTATTTAAAATGATATATTTTATTCATATTGTATTAAAATATACAATTATTATTAAAATATGCGTAAATTATTTAAATATATTCAAGGATTATATATTATAATAATATATATAAATATATTCAAAGATTATATATATTATATACATTATATTTATTTATTTAAATAATTTAAAATGATTATTTAATTCTTTAATATTTAATACTTATTTAATACTTATAATATATTATATTATTTATAATATAAAAAGAATTTTCATATTTCTTAGAATATATAATAATGCAAAAAGTTATATATACAAAGAAAGTTATAAAGCATTGCAAAGTTTTTTTTCTAAGATTATTATAAATATTTTTTTCTTTAATTTTTTATTTATATTGAATAAAAAAAATATTTCAAATGAATGTTATTAATTTTTTAATTTTTATTTATAATTTGATATTATTTAGTTATTTTATAAAAAAATGTATCATTCTATTTAAAAAAAATAGAGAGCTTGAAGATATATTCTTTTAAAAAGTTATTATATTTTATATTATATTTAATTTATTTATAGTAATTTAAAAAAAAAAACAGCTAGTAATATTATATGACTTATTATATATTATATTATATTTTATTATATATATTTATATTATATTTTATGTATATTTATATTAAAAGTATATTAAATTTATATATTTAAAGATAATTTTTTCTTAATGTTCATATCCTCTAGGCATCCAGATAAAACTGATCATCCAAGTGCAGAAAATAAATTTGTAGAAATTACAAAAGCTTATGAGGTAAAATATTGATAAATAATATGTTATAAATTCTCTTTTATCAAAAATCTTTTATATTTTTTGTTTCTAGATTTTAACGGATCCAGAAAGAAGAAAAAAATTTGATAACCATGGAATTACAGAAGAAAATATTTCTAGACAACGAAGAGATAATAGTCATTTTAATAATGTTTTTGATCCATTGGAAGAATTATTCGCCTCAAATTTCAAATTTCATTATCAAAATCGAGATATTTCTCTTTTTTATAAGATGAGCATCACATATCGGTTTGTTTCACTTAAAAAATTAAAAAAGCCTATTAAAGGCTTGAAATTAATAGCAAACATTTAAAAAATATATAATTATTTTAAATGTGAATGTACCACTTTCTGCAGATCATTTGAAAATGTAATAGTACCAAAAAGTTTTCGTACACCTTATCTGATATTATTTTATTCGGATTGGTGCTTTGCATGTTTGCAAATAGAACCAACATGGCGACGCTTGATCGATGAATTAGAACCTTTGGGTCTTGGTTTAGCAACTGCACATGCTGAAAAAGAGTCTGCTTTAGCAAGAAAATTGGGAATTCATTCATTACCATGTCTTGTTGTTATAATAGATGGTCGTACAAGTGTATATAAAGAATCTCTTTTTAGCATTCAGAAAATTGTTGGTATGTATTTTTACTATTAATATTTTAATATAATTACACATTTAATAATATTGTGTCATATTTATATTTAATATAAAAAATGGATTCATTTTCTTTACAGACTTCTTACGAAGCAAATTTCCATACAAATTAATATCTAATATAAATAAAAATAATATAGATAGTTTTCTCTCAGGATGGATAGATAATCGAATTCGAGCTTTAATATTTGATAAGAAAGAATCTGTAAGATTACGATATTTATTTGTTGCATTTTATTATAGAGATCGTGTTGCATTTGGTTTTGTTCAGGTAAAATTCATTTTTATTTTTAATATGATTGTTAAATTATTTTATTTTTTAATTAATTTAATTATAATTTTTCTTTTATAGATGGAAAAACCAGAAACTGAATTTATTGTGACAAAATATAAAATTTCTGTCGATTTAGACACTTTATTGTTATTTAACGAAAATTCTGAAAAACCTATGGCATCTGTTAGTATGAAAGATATATCTAGTGACACAATGCACAATATTATTTCAAATAATAAATTTCTTGCTCTACCAAGACTTTCAAATCAAGCGATGTTAGACTCTCTTTGTCCACCCGAATGGTTAAGACCTCAAAAACGTTTATGCGCAGTTTTAATATCACAACAAAATAGTCACTTTCATGATTTGGCTAGACACAAATTTAGACAAGCAGCTTTAGAATCATCTTATAGGTAAAAAATTTTAAACCCAAGTAATTAATTATCATTGATATTTGATCAAATTTAAAATGTTCAATTCTTATATAGATATATATAAAAAATAAATTGATTTTTTATACTATATATAATGTTTTTTAAATTATACAATATAATGATATATAATTAATATTAATTATCACTTTATGATCACAAAAATTACAGATATTAAAATTATTTTTTTTTTCTAAACATTCTTTATCGTATTATATTTTTTAATTTTAATCTTAATCTTTTCTTAATTCTCATAAAAGAAAAAAGATTTTTAAATTAAATTTGTTTGTTTCAGTTTATCTTAATATCTGCAATTAATAAATAATAAAATTTTATATGAGAATGTTAAAAATTAAATTTAATTTATAAACATATTATTATTATAATTTTAAAATTTTGCTATTATTTTGTAGTATAATATTTAATTTACAGTACTGAAAGAGTCCGATATACATACGTATTTAAAGATACGCAACCAGAATTTGTATCAGCATTATCAACAGGAGAAGGTAGTCCTCTAGAACCTTTATTACATATTGTTATTATTTGGAGAAGGGATGCAAATCATTTGAAATATGAATGGTTACCTACTGGTTGGATTGAAGCTGCTCAAGATGAAAGTCAATGGAATGAAACACGTCAAAACTTAGAACAAACTATACAAAGATTATTGCGTGCATCTGAAGCTTTACCATATGCCGCAGTTGTAGGAGAATTAGCAGATGAACATGCACAGGTACATATCTTAATTTTTAAAAAAAAAATAATTAATTACATTATCTTGTATTATACATAATTTAAAATTTTTATTTTATATAGGGTACTGTAGACAAACTTATTGGAAAAGCGTTATTAGCTGTAGATTATATTTCAGATAGTCTTACTAAAGAGCAAATATTGCCTTTAGTATCAGTAATTGCTACTTTAATGTTAATTGGTGCTGCAGGATATGGAATGTCATATCTAGCGTAAGTAATTATTTTTAAAAATAATAATAATTTTTAAAAAAATATTTTATTTAATTTAGAAAATTTGAACATTCAATTTTTTAATTATTATTCTCATTTTATATATAATTTATATTTTTGATTTTGAATTCCTAATTTAATTTGAATTATTTGAAATAATTTTGTAAATAAAATTTATGAAAAAAACTTAATTATATTAGTTTTTAAAATTATATAGTTTTTAAAATTATATAGTTTTTAAAATTATGTCATTGCAGAAAGTTAGAAGAAGCAAGTATTCAAGCTGAACGTGCTCAATGTAAGAATAACAGTAAACCAACTCCGACACAGCCACAATTACGATTACATGAATTGCGGGCAGAGAAATATAATGGTTTAGTTCGGTTATTAAAACCAGGTTGTAGAACTATTATATTATTAGTCGATGATCAAAGTAGACTAAAATTATTACCAGCTTTTCATAAAGCTGTGTGGCCTTATAGGTAAATTTATATTTTTATTTTTATAAATACTTCATAATTATATTAATATGTTATAAATAAAGATTCTAATTCAAAAATAAATATATACAGGAAAAATAAAACTCTTATGTTTGGACATTTGTCTCTTGAAAGAGGATTAGAATGGTATAAAAAATTATTATCTCTCACTTTACCAGAACAAAAGGAATTAAATATAAATGCCAAAAACTGTGTTGGCACTGTATTATCTTTAAATGGGCATCGTAAATATTTTTGTATGTATCATGCCAAACATCCAGAATGTATAAAAGGCAAAGGTTCTAAGGTTTGTATCAAAATATTTGTAAAGTATATATTAAAAAAAAATTTTATTAAATATTAGAAATGATCAACACACACAAATATTTTTATCATATTTTTTTACATACAGAGAATAGAACGAATGACAAAGCAGTTAACTCGAAAAACAGACGATGCAGAAGCAGGTGCATTTATAGGTTTTGATAGCTCTAATGAATCTGATGTTTCTGAAGAAGAGGTTTGATTTTTATATGATTGTTAAAATAATAATTTTTAATGATAGTAATATGAATTATAATACAATTATATAAAAAATATTTCAAATTAAAATATGATTATTCGAATTATTTTTATTACAGAATGGAAATAATATTTTATGCCAGGATAATCTTCTGGATGGTTTACCAATGTGGCTGGATAGGTTATTTGAAGGTTTAACACATCGTTACTATGTAAATTATTGGCCCGAGTTCACTGCCAAATAATTGAGAATTGGTATACATTCTGGTAATATGTATACTTTTCGCAATAGAAAAAGGGATCCAACTAGTCAACAATATCACATTACTTAAAAATTCTATACAATTTAAAAAGTCATTCTTTAATTTATAAAAATTAGTTTATTATATCTACGTGAGATATTATTTATTAACTCACGCGCCATTTTCCGTATATATAAAATTTAGATATTCTAATTATAATTAAAAAATGGATTCTATAAATTGTTATTATAGTTGATAAATATCTTTCATATAAAATGTTAAGAAACATAAGAAAGAGCAAACTCAAAAATTAATATACAAAAATTAATTATAGCTTATTTTCAATTTATAAGCAATTAAATAATTTTAATTAATTGGTAATATTACTATCTAATCGGATCTATAAAGATATTAAAGAGAATGTATCATATCATTTTAGATGCACAGAATAAAACATATTTAAAAAATTCTTTTTATAAGAATGTATGTATCTTAATATATTTTAATATATTATTTAATTAAAATTTTTATAGCATTTAAAATGATATGAAATGCAAAAATACATTTTTTTTAAGTTCTTTGTTAAGACCCGATTAGACAATCGCAATATTATAATAAAATGTTATAGACTGATCAATTCAAGTGTTTCACTCTTTTACTATATCATCTCATCTAATACAAAATTAAATTATTTATAAAAATATAACATAAAAAGCTTTAATCAATATTTTTGCATATAAATTTTTTTTTCTTGTCTAGAATCGATCTTCCAAAAATATTTCACATGTTTCTTAACATATAAATACAAAATTATATTATTTGCATTAATTTTTATGAATGACAAAAATATTTTTTAAATAATTCTAGTCAATGCCATTAAAGACATAACAATATTTATATTATATGTCTATATGTTAGGCATTGTATATTTATAAATTTATAATATTAATTTATTATTATTAATATAATATTAATAATTTCCATTTTTTCTTTTAACATAATTTATAATATGGTATTGTTATTTTTTACCATTATAATTATTTTTATTTTCTATATACATATACGAGATTTGATGAAAAATGTCTGTGTAAATTTTTAATTACAAAAATTATTTTAATTGATTTAAAATAAAAATTTTCATAATTATTGTAATATTATTTCTATCATTTTTATTGTTAAAGTTATTGATTAATTTTTAATATATAATAAAATATTATTAAATTTACTTTCAAATATTTTCAATTTTTTTCTTAAAAACTGCTTTCTTGAAATTTGAAAATGCTTTAAGTAATATTTTTATATTTTTTATGATTTTTAATGTTTTTATTTATTAATTACAATTTTCATAATATCTTTTTTTCAATTAAAAAATCAAATGTCATTATAATATTATATATATTACTTATTATATTACAAAGTTTAGAATATTACTAATATTTTGATACAAATTTAATCATTTTTAATATAATATATAAATATCTGCAGATATTATTTATGATAAAATTTTTAAATATATTCTTATATGTGTTTATAATCAAATTATTTTTTTTTTATGAAATTTTTTTGTTTATATAATGTTAATTTAAGAATTATATTTTTATATTTTTTTTTTCTTTGTTTTTTTTTTATTTAAATAGATACTTCAATGTTTGTATATCCTTGTATTTTTGTTTGCCTATAAATATTTTGGCAACAAAAATATTTAGATATTTATCTATTTGTTAATACAAATTTTGATGAAAATTCTATGATAATAATAATGATAATTAATTACGTGCTTTATACAGCGTATATGCAAATAAATAATAATAAATAATTTATAGTTAATGGAAAGAGAATAATTAATATTCTCATATAGAACAATATTATTAAATAATATAAAAACTAGTCCCTCTTTTTCAGCTACATTTAAAAATATGAATATATAAATAATTAATATCTTTAGATCATATTTTGAATAATTATAAAGATTATTATTATTATTATTCATATAATAAATTGTATTCTGTCAATCCATTTGAATGTTGTCATCACATAAGTAATATCATTTTTATACTGAAAAAATTAAGAAAGAATATATTTTTTAATTCTTTATATATTATATATGAATATTTCTTTGTACTTTTATTTAAATTATTTTTTTTTGTTTTAAATAAATTTCTTTTTATTAATGTTTTTATTAAAGTTTTGATTTTAAGAATATATATAATCTTTTGGAAAAAATTTAAAATATTATTTTGTTATGTCATTCTGTTATTTTTTTAATAATTGCAAAAAAGATTTCTCTATAAAATTTTTTTATATTTATATCATAAGATTTACAGTTTAATTTTTTAATTTTTATTTTTTAAGATGTTGAATTATTGATTATAATATATTAATATATTAACTTAAGTGAATCATAAAAAATAATTATTTTATTTATTCAATTGTTAATTTTTTTCTTAAAAAATTAATGAAAATAATGTGATAAATGCAGATTTTTATTATATAATTATAATAATTAAGTGTAATTATAGTTAAATTTTAATATTGTAAATAGTAGAAATTTTTACATTTTCTTTTTGTAAATTAAATTAAATAATTTTTAGTTTAAATTCATAATATTCCTTATATCAATTCATATTATCAATAATATATCAAATATCATTAATATTTAAAAATTAATTATTAAGATTGTTTAAATTATGTAATTTTATATTTTAATATTAAATTGTTATTGTTATATCATTGATTGTTAACAAGTTGATATATATTATTATAAAAATAATCTAAAATATTTATTAAGAAAACCCAAGTTTATTGATTTTTTATTAATTTATCAGAAGAGTAATTAATTATTGTAAAAGTCAAAATTTTTTTTTATTTTTGAGTTTATTGATTTTTTATTAATTTATCAGAATAGTAATTCTATAAAAGAATTCTGTAAGAAAATTCTGATCACTGTAAAAGATCACGTTTTTTTAATTTCTTTTTTCTTTCTCTTCTTTTTCTTCAAGCCATAATTTTTATAATCATTTTATTTTGAAAAACTATTAAGATTATAATTATTGATATCTTTTTTTAAGTCTTCTTATTACAAATATTGCTAATGGTTATATATTTTGGTTATTTTGGTATAATGGTTATATATATTTAATATAAATTAAATTATATTATTTCAATAGAACATAATAATTGCTTTAAAACAGTTTTGAATAATACCATTGAAATGACATGACTTATGAGATGACTTGACTGCAAAAGGAACAGTTTATATTAAGTATACATTGATCATATTTCAGAATTATCTTGGGAATTTTTAAATGCATGGGAGGAAATTATATATAAAAAATTGTTTATATTGTGTATACATTCTATAAAAATATTTAAAATATTCTGAAATAAAGATATATGAATAAATATGTACATTGTATTAATTTGTAAAGTAGAATCAATTTGTTTTAATTATTAATACACATTTTTATATATATATGTCATTTGTTATTATTTAAAATCCTATATAAATAATTTACATAATTTACATTATTTTTATATAGTATAAGTATTTTATAATAATAATTAATAATATTATTTAACTTTTATTAAAAATATTTCTTAAGATTTCTTATATTTAATAAGATTTTAAATAGTTTGTGTTATATATTTTTATGTTACATTATATGAAATAATTTCAATTGAATAAATCATATACAAATATAATAACATGATTCTTTTCAATTTTAACATATATAAAATGTATAGCTATTTGAAAATTTATTGTATTCGTTTAAATTCTGGAAATATTTCATACATCAAAACTTCAAAGATATCCTATAAATAAAAAATATTAATTTAATATTTTATTATATAATTTTATATATTTATATAGAACATTATATATTATAATTATATTATAACTTAATAAAGATAACTTACATAAAATAATTGTTTATTTAAATTCACATTCTGTAAAGAGTCAAAAATCTTAATTGCACCACGTTGTGCACTTTGTGATCCTACTAAATTTGTTAAAACATCGGGTATATTATTTAAAAATTGTCTTCGTGCTTCCCCTCGAGTTTTTAGTTTTTCTTCATCTGAACGAGAAATTGTCTCAGAAACTAAATGACCATTTGGCCACCATGATTTCGTAAACAATTGTATGTAGTAATGAAGCATTGGTTCTGAGAACACCCATGCAATAGTATCTCTGATTTGTCTGATGATTACATATTTAATATTAAAAAAAATATTTTGAAACTTTATTTTAATATTTATATTATTTTGATGCATATTAAATATAACACATGTCTCACAAAACATGTTTTTTTTCAATTATTATAATAATTCAATTATTAAAATTGATTAAAGAATATATAGTACGCTCTAATAAATAAAAACATTATCTTTTGTATTTGATATAATAATATATTGCAATAATTATTTTAATTAAAAAAAAAGATTTTAATATTTAATAAGAACTTAATAAAGATAAAAAACAATAAGAAATTGCGAAATTTAAATTAAATATTAGAACTATAAATGTAAAAAGTATGCAACAATTTAATTATTTAGCTTTGAATTATATATAGATCAACATAGCTTTGTGATACATTATATAGATTCAATGAATTAGATTTAAAAGTATAAACAAACCTGTTTATAGTTCGACCATAGGTAATTTGAACAAAAGTAATTAATGAACGTCTAAGCCATCGAAATACACCTCGAAGATCGAAAATTTCACCTAAAAGCGTATAAAGAGGTTCTGCTATTGCATCTCTATTAATATTCAAGCACCCATCTGTAGCTGATCGGGCACTATCGGTATCATCTAATAGTAACGAATAATCTTCTTCCTCTTCTTTATCACGAAGTTCATTATTGTTGTTTGATCTAAAATAAATTTTCTAAATAAAATAAAAAATTAAATTTTTCAAGTATAAAGTTTTTATAATAAATATATAATAATTTTAGTTACGTTAGTTACGTTTTAAATAATGTGGATAAAGAAAATCGTGATTTTTTGGGAGAAGGAGGATATTTCAAATGTTCCGAACTCGGACTAAGAAATGTATATAAAGCCTCACTTTGATTCAGTTTTTCATCTTCTAAAACAAACTAAAAATATTAATAATTAAATTTAAACTAAATATTATTTACTAAATGTAATGTTTTATAATATTAAAATATACATTTAAATATTTTTGTATTTGTATCTTA